GACCTCAGGTGATCTGCCTGCCACAGCCTCCCAAAGTGCTGGGATGTCAGGCATGAGCCACTGCGCCTGGCCTACTTCTATTATTATTACATTGTAATATATAATGAAATACTTACCCAACTGACCGTAACACAGAATCAGTGGCAGCCCTGAGCTTGTTTTCCTGAAACTAGATGGTCCCTCCTGAGGGTGATGGGAGACAGTGACAAATCAACAGGCATTAGATTCTTCTAAGGAGGACACAGCCCAGCTCCCTCGCATGTGCTGTTACAGTAGGGTTTGCGCTCCTACAACACCACCACTGATCTGACAGGAGGTGGAGCTCCGGTGGTGATGCCAGCAATATGGAGTGGCTGTGAACACAGATGAAGCCTCCCTCACCAGCCCGCTGCTCATCTGCTGTGCTGCCTGCCCAGTTCCTAACAGGTAAGCCAGGCGCGATGGCTCACGCCTGTAACCCCAGCACTTTGAAGACTGAGGCGGGTGGATCATCTGAGGTCGGGAGTTAGAGACCAACCTGACCAACATAGAGACACGCTGTCTCTGCTAGAAATACAAAAATTAGCCTGACGTGGGTGCTCATACCTGTAATCCCAGCTACTTGGGAGACTGAGACAGGAAAGTCGCTTTAATCCAGGTGTCAGAAGTTGCAGTGAGTCAAGATCTTGTCATTGCAAAAACTCCATGTCAAAAAAAATGAGACTCTGTCTCAAAAAAAAAAAAAAAAAAAAAAGATCAGGCCCGATGGCTCACACTTGGAATCCCAGCGCTTTGAGATAATGAGGAGGGTGAATCACCTGAAGTAAGGAGCTCGGGACCAGCCTGGCCTACATGGTGAAACCCTGTCTCTACTAAAAATACAAAATTAGCCAGGTGTAGTGGTACCTGCCTGTGATCCCAGCTACTCAAGAGGCTGAGGCAGGAAAATTGTTTGAACCTCGGAAGTGGAGGTTACATTGACCTGAGCTTGCACAACTGTATAGAGTGAGACTCTGCCCCCCCAAAAAAAAAAAAGAAACGCAAAAAAAAACAGGCTACAGACTTCTACTGATGCATGCCCAGGAGGGTTTGGGGACCCCAGCTGTAGACAATATGTAATGATCAAATCAGGGTAACTGAGACAGTCATCACCTCAAATACTTATCTTTTGTTTTGGGAACACGAAAATCCTTCTAGCTATCTTGAAATATACAAATAAATTCTCACTCACTTTAACATCCCTTGTGCACTATTGATTACTGTAACTTATTCCTTCTATCTAGGCCTTCTTGTCTTTCATTCGTTCTTTTTTTTAAAATGATTTTTACTTATTTTTGAGACATCACTCTCTTTCTGCCAGGCTGGAGTGCGGTGGTATGATCTCAACTCAATGCAAACTCTACCTCCTGGGTGCAGGCAATTCTCCTGCCTCAGCCTCCCAAGTACCTGGGATTACAGGTGTGTGCCACCATTCCTAGCTAACTTTTGTGTTTTTAGTAGAGATATAGCTTCACCATGCTGTCCAGACAGGTCTCGAACTCCTGACCTCAAGCAATCCACCTATCTCAACCTCCCGAAGGGCTAGGGATTCCAGGAATGAGCCATAGCACCCAGCCATTCATTCATTCTTCCATTCATTCATTCCATTAATAACTACTGCCTGGTTATCATATATCCAGTGGGGTTCCAGGCTCTGAGGAAACAGCAATGAGCAAAACAAAGCTGCTGCTCTCTTAATGGATCCATCATTCTAATGGGGGGGAAAGAGACAGGTGATCCACAAACAAACCAGTCACACAGACAGCACATCAGGTGGAGAGCGCTATGAAGAATAAATACTAAAGCAGGTATGGCCAGGTGCGACAGCTCTCACCTGTAATCCCAGCACTTTGGGAGGCTGAGGTGGGTGGATCCCTTGAGGTTAGGAGTTCAAGACCAGCCTGGCCAACATGGTGAAATGCCATCGCTACTAAAAGTACAAAAAAAAAAAAAAGAGCCAGGTGTGGTGGCACCTGCCTGTAATCCTAGCTAGTCAGGAGACTGAGTGGGAGGATGGCTTGAACTTGGGAGATGGAGATTGCAGTGAGCCGACATTGTACCACTGCACTCCAGCCTGGGGAACAGACCAAGACTCTGTCTTCAAAAATAAAAAAATAAAGAGAAATCAGGTGCAGGTGTACAGTGCACTAGTGTGAGCAGGGGTTCTGTGGTGGTGTAGAAGGTGGTCAGGAAAGGCCTCTCTGTGAAGGTGTTAGACATGAGGGCTGAGCCTGCACAGACTCCTGGGAGAGCAGCTCTGGAGGGCTCTAGGTGTTGGTGCCATTTGTGGTCCTTTCGTTTTGCTTTTAAGACAAAGTCTTGCTCTGTTGCCAAGCCTGGAGTGAAGTGGCACAATCTCAGCTCACTGCAACGTCCGCCACCTGTGTTCAAGCCACCTCAGCCTCCCAAAGAGCTGGGATGGCAGGTGTGAGTCACTGCGTCTGGCCTATGTATTAACATGTTTAAATTCTTCCAAAAGCTGTGCTTCAGGAAGATTGTTCTGGCAGCCATTGGAAATAAATGACAGAATGACAGGACAAGGATCATGTCAGTCACAGGGTGGCTGTGGACACCTGCTGGCCAGCAGCAGGAATGCCACTCAGACCCTGGATTCTACCTCTGCAGCCCACCTGCACCTGAACCCTCCTTTCCACATCAGTAGAAGCCTGGAACTCTCAGAACAGCAGACCTCATCAGCCACTGCCACCTTCACCAGAATGATGTGATTAATTTGTTCATGCAGAAGACAGCAGGAACCCCGAGAGAACAGGATCCAGAATGTGTGGGTTCTGATGGAAAGGGTGGCAGGTTCTGGGAGGCTCCACCTACCTCACTCCCTGACCCCCACACTCCTTCCCCAGTCCTGTTGAGTATAGAGACTAGAGTGACATCACCAGAAATGTAGACGCTTGGAAGGACACCAGTGACACACAGAAAATGAGACAGGAGGTCCACAAGGGGCCCAGCTGCTGGCCCCGCATGCCCAGGACTCTGTCCAGAAAGGCTCCCTCCCAGCCATGGAACTTGGCTGATGGTCCTCCAGTTCCTGAGGATGGAGCTGGTGAGCAGGTCCTGAAAGTCCTTCTGCCTCATTTGCTCTACTGGGTTTGGAGGGAAGAGAGAGATGAAACAGGGAGAGTCCAGAAGTCTCCCCTGCAACCTGACAGTCCCCCTGCAGCAAATCCCATTGATCTCACCAACTGTGTCCCAAAGCTGTCTGCCTGTCTGCTTCTCTGACCCTCAGTCCTGATCCATCCACCGTCATCCTGTGCCTGGACTCCTGGAGCTGACCCGGGACCACTGCCCTGGGGAGGCAGCCTCTGATGCCCAGAGAACAGAGGCTGCCCCTGAGCCCACCTGGGTATGGTGCCTGAGGAAGTCTACCTGGAGGTGGGTAATGCCTGAGCTACATCTTTCTTTCTTCCTTTTAAATTTTTGGTGGAGTTGGGGCGTCTCACTCTGTTGCCCAAGCTGGCCTCAAGCTCTTGGGCTCAAGTGATCTTTTGCCCATGGCCTCCTAAAGTGCTGGGATTACAGCCTGAGCTACACCTTAAATGACCAGGAGGTGGGTACTGGGCAGGCAGAGGATGGGGGGATGGAGGCAGGAAGAGGGAGGGGAGGCTTTGAGACAGAGGGCAGCAAACACCCAGGCAGAGGGAGCAGCATGACTCAGAGGACACTC